AGTCGCCATAAAAATAAGTAGTAAAGTAAAGTAAAAATATCAGAAAAATCTACTTGCCATCTCTGCTGGACTCACACTATTTACAGTGCCTTTTATTTATTTATTTCAAAGGTTTTCAAAGAAAAAGAAAAAGAGTCCAAAAGCAAGCTACATTTTTTGTATTTTCATATAAGTGAAAAACAAAATAGAAAAAGGAATCCCTTTTTTCTCCATTTATGAGCTTGGTGTTGAAATGTAAGATTTAATCACACTATAATACTTAGTTTTATGCGGCACAATGTAAAACAGTTCAACAGGATGAGGTAACATGAACATCGTGTCTCTGCTGCCTTTAACAAAACAAAATCAGAGGACTTTTCCAAACCTAGAAAGGCTCAGTCTGTTTGCATTTAGCGCTGTCCTCAGCTGCCAAGCTCTCTTAGGCAACCACACACCAGGATCAGATGGACTGGATGTTAAACTGGCCACAAACACACATTCCCCCGATTCACAACATGTCCCCACCTGTGGGCAGGTGGGGGAGGATGTGTGCAGATGTGGAAATGTGTCCCTGTGGAACCTTGAAAGGTGAAGTCCGCAGGCTCCTCCATCCTTTAAACATTCTTAGTCCGTAAACAAATCAAGTTCTCCCAAACTTGATCCAGGCATGGCGTGAGGAGACATGCAAAGCAGCTGGACTCTTTTCCTCTGTTTTAATCAGAAGAAAAGTTCCAGCATTGGTGATTTGTTTTTTTTCCCCAGGGACCAATCACATGTGCTCCGTTTTCATTAGTGTTTTAGAGCGGAGGGGCGGCCTGGTGGTCAGGGCATAGAGCTTGGAATCCTAAGGTTCTGAGTTTCCACAAACTCCCACAGACAAACACTCTGGGTCTCTGAGCAAACACCCTTAACCTCACACTGCTCTTTGGGTGCTGCACAATGGCAGCCCACTGCTCCCTAAGGGGATGGGTTAAATGCAGAGTTCATTTCTCCAATGTGAGATCAATAAAGTTCAATTATTATTATTTGAATTATTATTTACACCATCTGCCCTCAGAACCAGCAAGACAAGTCTGGGCCATTTCAAATCAAATATAATTCAGTGTCATGTTGGCTTTCAGGGATCTAACCCACATGCAGAACACTCAGAGGCTGGGAAAATGTTCACAAAGTTTATTGAAGATAAATCACAATAAAGAACAACGATTTCTGGGATAACTGGGTCCAGGTCTGGTCACGACTGGTTTTCACTGCAGAGAGGGACAGATTGGTTAGCAGACTTTCAGTGAACTTGCAGGTTGGGTGTTTGCAGGTCTATACCTGATCAGAGATGAGCAGAGCGGTAGAAGGGGGGAACCAGGGTCCAGAGGCTGAAGGCAGGCAGAGGGCTAGGCAGAGGCAGGGCAGAGCAGATAATCTTAGTGAGCAGGTTCAGAGCTTCTCCCTCAGCTCTTGCTGAGAGCGGGCAGGCAGGTTTCAGACTGAGTTGGATTTCCAGGGTTCTTCTGAGAACAGACAGCTTGGTTTCACGCTTGAGAAACC